TATATATATATATATATATATATATATATATATATATATTCCATGTAAATTAATGTGATATTTTCCAATAATTTCGAAATCTTTCCACTTACTTCGAAACTTTCTCAAGTGTCTTTATAACACTTTATAACAATTTCTGCGCAAAAACGAGTTTTCTTATCCTTCTTGTTTCTTCTTTCCCTTAATAATCTAATCTACATATTTCTGGATATTTTGAAGGAAAAATGCATTGTGATATAACATTGTTAGAAGTATGTTGTGGGACAGCTTCATGCGAGACACGCATGCTCCAGGTGCGTTATATACGAAGTATCGTTCGGATAGTGGAAAGTTTTATGTTATAACACGATCGATGACGACACCGTTGCTGTTACGTTTTCCTGTCACAGAATTTTTTTTTACCAAACTGTGATATAATACTTCAATTTCATTTGTCACTTTTCGCGTTTTTTTATTTTCCACGTTGCCTGATCAATTCCCGTTGCGTTTTCTCTGTCTATGGAATGTACCGAGTATTTATATATTTCTGTATGTACGAAGATGTTAGCTTCGATTTTTCAATTTCTTATTGTATTCTCCATCTGAAATGTACTACATTGCATCCACACACGTGAATTATTATTTATTATATCAAATACGATCTCGATTTTCTTTTACTCTCTTCTCACTTTATTTTCTATTATACGTTCTCTCATTGTGCTTTCTATCTGAAATATTGACAATTATTTATATATTAATATATGATTAATTTATTTATTTATTAATATATGATTAATATGTATATTTAATATTTTTATAATATACTAATATAAATAAATAAATAAATATATATATTCATTGTATTTATGATGTATTACATTTATTATACTTATATTTCTATCTGAAATGTTTACAATTATTTATATATTTATTAATATGTGATTAATATGTATATTTAATATTTTTATAATATACTAACATAAATAAATAAATATATATATATTTATTGTATTTATGATGTATTACATTTATTATACTTATGATGTATTTATTCATTTCATTATTTATTTATGATATATATCTATTTATGTATCTTTAAGCAAGAAAGAATTTTTTTTTACCAAAATGTGATGTAACATCAATTTTTTTTTCAAAAATTTCTTTCCACCTTATTTTCCACACTCTCTTATTGTGTTCTTTATCTGGAATACAAGTATTGGCATAGTTATGTATGTATACCTGTTAATGGATGTTTATCGACAGTCTGAAATGTACATCCACAATAATTTCCCCGAATATGTTCTGTGTTGATTTTTCCAATTAACTATGAACTAACATATTGAAACAATATTTTGTCGAGAAACAATTCTGAGGATAAACATTTTACTTCCATTCTCGCGTAATAATTCATCGTTTCAACAGTAAATTATAGCGTTCAACAGACTGTACAATCGAACTGAGGCAAATAATAATAATAAATGGAATCTTCAAAGAAACATGTACTTTTATCCGAAAGTGTGATTCCACGGTGTAGAATATTTCTCGAATTACGTCGGGATTTAAAAATAGCAGGATTGTGATTGCAATCCTTTTTTTTTTTTTTTAAATTCAATTTCTCTTGCAGCAAAATCGACGAACGTAAATAGGTCCATTTGACTTTAATTCGCTTAATTCTGGCAATTTTTTCCATTATCTGTATAGTAATCGACACTCTTTCGTCACTGTTTTAATCAAATTATTTTGAATATACACGTACATTGTTTAATAATCCTTTAATTATTTAATAATTGACTACTTACTAAAAACGATAAATTTTTATCTTGCTTTTGTAATGCTTGCATATGTGTGCGAACGTCTCTCTAAATAATCAAACACAACATCCATAGATTTTTTTTTTTTTAAGCTTCAAATTATTACATGCAACAAATGTAACAAGCTAATATTTTCTCATCATCTGTTTATCGAAGTAACGAACGCCATTTTTATCCCAGTTCCAAGTGCAACTTCTAAATCACTGGCGACGACATCCGCAAGCTCGTAAAGTCGCTTTTAACGTCAGCTAATGAACGTCAAGACACGCGCGTGTAATTCATAGCTCCGATAAGATCAAACTTATCCCTCGTAAATGTCCAAGATACACACTTTTTTAGAGAGAGAGAGAGAGAGAGAGAGAAAAAAGAAAAAAAACGAAACGAACGCGTAGGAACGCGTGTCGTCGTCATCGTCATCGCGAGGATTCATCGCGTATTCAACGAAAGTAGACTAAACACAAAGTCACGCAGATTTGATATGCTTACCGTCGACGAATGTTTGTTAAACTTGGTCGATTTATCACGTACGAAAGTCACGGTTACGCGCTCCGCGAGGATCGCTTGTTATTCACCGCGGCGGAATTGCAAATCGGCCGAAGATTTGCCAGCAAGAGTCCACGTGAATCCGCGAATTTCTCGATCGATAAACACATGATTATCAGGAGGGCGACGAAGATAATACCTTCGTTGACAGTATATTCAACATTTCACGATGATCAATTAGACTGATTAGGCTGATTCATTTGGAATCGCACACTGTCGAATCACTAGCGGAATTCTTGTCGAGTTTAAAAATTTTGATGTTAATAAAGAATATCAATTAGAGTCATGGATGAATTTTGTGAAGGAAGAAAACAATTTGAAGAATTCAGTATTTAATACGTGGAGTGTACTTGTATAGAAATCAGTTGTATTTGTCAAGTTTCCTTCGATCGATGTTGTCCTTGCAATCTATAATTAACGTACAGAAAAACGTCATTGTGTTTCAGGATGCTTTGGATACTAAAAGGTGGTCGTCCAAGAACAGCCAAAATGGGTACGTTCACATTATTGTCAAACGTTCGTAGTTTAGATAAATTATTTAGCTAGCGACTGAATATGCAATTTGATTTAAATTAATTGATTTCGATTTAAATTAATCTCAAGTAACATCAATCATAATGTTAAAAATTATTATCGAGCAATTATTGAAGGAATAATACTGAGAGGGACAGAGAAATTCATTGGTATTGTCTTCTTTTAATTCCAGCTACGATCCATCTCGCAAGTCCAACATCTACGTGCTGGAGCTTGAGGAGAAGAAGAAAAGCGTACAGGAGTACGAAGAGGATTACAATCCTTACGATCACAGAGACGTTACACATCCAACTACGTGAGTGTCATTTTCACCTTTGATCTTTCTTTTCTTCTTTTTCCTCTACATTTTTTTTTGCATACAATTCTCATAAACAGACTTTGGATATTTGTACAAAATTCATATTTTCATGTTTTCACATTGTGACTCGACAACACATAGACGATCGTTTCATTTTCTAAATATTACAACGATATTTTAGGTGTCTAACAATAAGTAAAATACTTTTGCACTCGAATTTCACACGAACTATATAAAAAAAAGTACGCAGCCTAAATTACTTAAATTCACGCGGATTTCGATACTGTGGATTTTTACGCGTTTTTATGAGAATTTTAGTGAAAAGTTATATACACCGAATTACATAGAATGATGCATAAAGAAAGAATTGAAATTTGCACAAGCGTCAAAATAAAGGGGAGAGAAAAGATCGGACGCCGGTTAGGTTCGAACGAAATCACCGACGTTCGCATAATGTCGAACGTGGCACGCATGCGAAACTGCGACGTTTCGTTTATTCCGACCGCGTTTCTCTGGATACAAATTACACGGCAGTTTATTGCGATTAATCGACGAAACGGAAGGATTCCCCGTGCTCTCGTGGAAATATATAGCGCCGAAAAATTCTGCTCCACGCGCGTGAACAAAGGTCGATGACGCTTCGTCTTGAAATCGAAGAAGTTCGTGGAGAATCATAGTCGACTTAATATTATCCAGACTAGACATTAATACTATCCAGATTTAATATTAACGAACTCTTAAGAAGTTATCCCATTATTCTTATCATCGTCAAACTTCATTCCATCAGGTTCTCTCAATTATTTTCAAGAAGAGAGGAATGCAAGAATAATATAACAGGAAGAAATTTCTTCTTCCTTGTCTCGAAACAACCGTGATAAATTTCACGTATTCTGCTCTAAACGTGAATCTCTTCGTTCCTTTTCATTAGTAATTTAATTACTTTACTTACTTTTTTCCATAATTTAATTATTGACGATTATTACTTTCCATAATCAGATTATTATTGATCATTTATCACCACCAATTAAACATTGAAATATCATTTCAATGGTAAATTATTTCACATAGCTGGAGATGTGTAATGATTTTGTTATTTGTCATATGTTTTCTGATCGTTAGAAGGTAATTAAATATAATTGGAAGATTATGTTAAATATTATAGGAGCTGGGAGACGCTGTTACATCTGTTGAAAGGCAGCTTGGGCACTGGAATCCTTGCGATGCCAAAGGCTTTCTACCATGCTGGATATGGTGTTGGCATAGTGGCAACCATAATCATAGGTATATTCTGTACTTATTGCATGAGGATATTGGTCAGCTCGGAATACGAGCTTTGCAAGAGGAAAAAGGTAGCCTCGTTATCTTATCCTGCCACGGCGGAAGCTGCTCTGTCGGAGGGTCCAGCGCCGTTCAGGCGATTTGCCAAGGCTTCTATGTGAGTATTTCGATCGAGAATTTTCGTCGAAACATTCAGATGAATTTCCCCGAGAAAATCTCTCTATTTTCAAGATTTACGATTTTCGAAATATTTTTTATACAACACGATTCTTAAGGCAATACTTTGGTAGTCATCGATCGCGTAATACAGATTTTGACGAAGAATTAGAGCAGGTAAAAAAAAAACTGCGAATTTCTTAGCAAAAATTTTGATCACAAAATTTATAAGATCCTCCGACCTTATATTATATTTTTATACTTGTTCTGAATCTGTTCATTCGTATTTACGATTTATTTATTAATGAAGACTACGAAAACTGTTATCGATTTCATATGAAGATTATATATACGTTGAGTGTATAAGCCGAGTTGTTCACGGTGTAACAAAATAAAGTAAACACATAATCGAGATTATCCATCAATGTATAATAAAATAGTAGCTGCTGCGAACAAATTTCAACGGTGAGAAATCATTTGTTTTGCAGTCACACGATAAACGTATTCCTTATGGTATATCAATTGGGAAGTTGCTGCGTCTATACTGTATTCATCGCCACGAATTTGCAAACGGTTAGTACAACTATCAATTAATCGTAATCGCGGAGTTCATACTAAAGTAGGATAAAGATCATTCACACGACCATCACGCATAGATCGTCCCCTCATCAAGTTCGTCCCATTGAAATTTCAATTTCCAGCCGACGAATCGATTTCTGAATCGACTTTGGAATTTGACTTGTTCCACTTTCTGTTTTACGATTTCAATTGAAGTTTCTTGAACGTCACGATTTCGATCGAATTTGGCGATTTTGGTTTCAAAACCATTTTTATCGATTCGAGAAGAATTTTTTCTTTTTTTTTTTTAACATATTCGAGGAAGTAGTTCTACATTGGAATTAGAGGAATGTGTTTGAATTTATAATTAATCAGATTAGCGATCAAATTTATTCAGAGTCTATCCGAAGTCAACTACATCAAATTCGACTGTAATTAACGAAACCTAAGCTAACCTAACCTAACCTAAATTCAATAAACCTAACCTAACCCAATCTAAACCTAACCTAAATTCAACTGGAATGAGTAAAGTAGAATTTTTTAATAACCTAACCTGAAGTCAAAGTCAATTGAAGTAGAATTAAAGTAGAATTTTTTAATAAACCTAACCTGATGTCGAAGTCAATTGGAATTGGTAAAGTAGAATTTGTTAAACTGGTAGCAGAATTCACCCAACTAAATCCTAACTAAATTTCTCAACAGTTAAGTATAATCGAACTTTACCTAAATCCAATGAAAGTTAATTAGAATTCATTCGTAGTCGTCCAAGTCTAATCAATGTTCAATCGATGCCAACTAAAACCCAGTTGCAACAATTAAAGTTGAAACCATTTGTATTATACATTCAAACTTTAATTAACACTAAAACTATCGACGACTGATTAAAGTGCAACGAATAATAAATAATAAATAATTAATAAATTGCAACGAATAAGAATGCTTCTATCTATATAAAAATATTTACTTTCATTGCATAAGTTGTTATATTATTTCATTATGTATCATATTAATTATATTATTGCATTTTATTATAATATTCATTATTTATTTATTTACATTAATATTATAATATTATAAATTTATAATATTCATTATTTATTTATTATTATTGCATATGTATATTAATATTGCATATGCTTATTAATATTGCATTTTATTACGAATATTCATTATTTATTTATTTATATCAATATTATAATATTTAAACGTGTCATTATAATATTTGTGACAAAATTTATTTATATTTTATTATTATCAAACTATTCGATCAAGATATAAAATGTTCACGGAAAATATTGATATAAAGATCGTTGAAACTTCTGAAAAATTGTTGAAAATCAAGCTCGTTCGAGAATCTACGGGGAGAAGATTTTTCAATTACTCATTGTCCCAGCGGACCTCTCGAAAATTCTAGTTTTCTGGCGTTGAAATAACCAATATCCAATAGGAAGCAGCATCGCCACGAGAACTGGCGAATCCATTTTATCTGCTGCCAGCTAGCCAAATGACATCACCTGTGCAGAACCGTTCTCCATCTCGTTCCTGCAAGAAACCGTCCGCGCAAATGACTCACGAGATTTCGCTGCTGCTCTCGTGAGCGTTGAAATTCTCGTGGCGATCGCAGCTTTTACCGCGTTGGAATCCCGCTCTCGAGCAACGAGTCCGGGCTAGTAGAAGCCGCGTGGCGTGCACGCAGCTCCGTAGGCAGAGGAAAAGGAGCATGTAGGTCAGGGAAACACGCCGCGCGGAATAAACGATTAGACAGCCGACGCGTCGTAATGAGCCTCGCGAGTCAAGGTGATAATGCACGGTTCAGGTTCGTTGACGTCTGACGACAAGCAACAGGATGAAGTCGAGTTTTTTTTTCCTTTTTTTGTTTCTTTTCCCCCTTTTTTTTTTTTTTTTTTTTTTTTTTATTTACGAGGACACGCGGCTCGTTTTGGTCAACGAAATCCGGGGAAAACGGTACCGGAGACTTTCGCGAGCAACGAGCAGCGATACGCGTCGACCGTGAAGTTTACACGGAAGTCACTTCCTCAGGTTTATCCTCGTTTCGGCGTTTTTTGGTTTTTTTGATATCGCGAACGATTCTTCCGAACAACGTGTTCGCAACTGGGTGTGTGTTTCTAATGATTTTTTTTGTTTGGTATTTCATTCTTTATTTTTGTGACGAAGATCCCTTTGAATTCTTCCTCTTCTTTTAATCTTTCAAAAAATTATTGCTCTTTCAACTTTAACGATGGATTTATTTTGATTACCCTTTACTTTTTTCAATTTTTCAAAAAATTACGCACACGTGGTCAGTTCTCAGTACAGTACTGGTCGTACGTGAATCCTTTGGCTCTTTGTTTACTTATTAAAATATCTCTTCAATTCTTAAAAAATTTCAACGACGTTCTAAAATTCTTTTAACTTCTGAAAATGTTCAACACGGTTTCTTTTCTTCTATACAGCGTGCGATGGGCAAATTCATTCGTTCCTAAATTTCTTAAAAAAATTCGAACGACGATCTGTTCGTCATGCGACTCGTTTCACGTACGAGCCTTTCCAAGAATCTTAATACCACGAGTCATCAAGGAGCCATTATACAATTCCTTCCTCAAAGGACACGATATATATCTGAAATCACCATTGCGACATTTATAATTCTAACGCGTTGCAACGATTTTTTTTCTTCCTCAACCTCGGGATTCCTACGCCTGACGAGCAACATTTAATCAACGCTGCAATTTTCTTTGACAAGTCGTACGTGTATATGCAAATATAAAACGGACGTACTGCCCACTATGTATTGTATACTTACGCACACGAACGTTGCTCGATAGCAGCCGTGTATGTGTTCAAGCTGCATTATACATTTCACAAAGTTCACTGCGTATTTCACTCGATGCACTCGAGGATCGTGCAGAGTAGGCTCTGCGTTTAATTGGAAGAATTGGAAGGACTTGCTCGATCTGTCGTAAATCTTGGAAAAAAGGTCACGTTGCTCCGTTGTTTTGCTATAGTAATGGAACCTCGATCACTGCAGCAAATAGGGAGATAGGTGTTCAATGCCATATTAGAATGAGATGAACACGTGTTGGAAAAGTTTTCGATCAACCGCTTGAATTTAATATTTAAAAAAAAAAAAAAAAAAAGAAGGGAACAGTAGTTGAAAACTTTGAATTTCATTGATTCTAATTTTCCAAACAAGCATATTTATATATTAACAGATCCATAAATATTGATCGGAAAAGCTTAAGAGGGGTTGAAATTTAATTATATTCCACGTGCGACAGAACTCGTGAAAGTGAAAGACTTAAGCGCCGGAGATATGTATGAAATATATAAAAAGTAATTTTTTCTTTTTTATTTCTTAATTTACAATAGTGAGGTGATAGTTTAACGAACTTATGCTCATTTTATTTCGTCATGGAACGTATCTTCATTATTTAACAATCAGACATCGATTTCATACATGTTAAGTAGAAATCATTATACCTTCACCCCATAATGCAAAAATTATATAAAAATTTTTTACAACATACGTATAAAGATAAACTGTTTTCATGTTACTAACCACTTGATTACGAAGCGAAAGTTTCTTTTGATTTAACACGGCATTGTATTTGGAGAATAGAATTTTTCCTTTTTCCTTTTTTTTTTCTTTTTTTTGTCGCATTAAACTGCACATACACATAGCAGGAAACGTACTGCCTGAATGATAAAACATTCCGGCAATGGAACACCTGGGTGACCGAGGTTTGGCTGTATAACCTCGTTGCATTCTCTCCGTTTGACGGGATTCCCCTCACGCTTACGAACGAAATGAAAATTTCAATCGACTCGTTTGCTAATTCCTCGGAGGTTCATTAGCCTCGTTCAATGACAAAGTACTAGAATTTTGATGGCTGGCGCAATTGTGCAAATGAAATTTTGCAAATTAATAATGCCTTAATTACACATTGAATAATTGTTATTATCTACTATTATACAATTAGTTAAATGAAATTATGTAACAGTCATATATATTATATATATTATTCGATTATAATCATTCAATTCGATATTATTAGCTCGTTTAATTTAATTATTCACCACAGGCGATTGACACGATTTTAATACACCACAATATCAGATCTCTATCAACGATATACTCTTTTCACTGATATAATCTTTCCACGGTAGAGAACCTTGCGGTCCTAACGCAATCCTTTCGCCCGTATGACGCATGTAACAAAACCAACTGGCAGTGACTCATTCCTTCGCGTTTGTTAAAAATTCGCTCGTGAAACTTTTAATTTGCACAAACTGGATCTAGAATGGCAGGTTTCCTTGCGAATGAGATTACTAACGGTATTCGCAATGTCTAAATTACCGCTGGATTATCGCGCGTATTATCGAGCGAAAAGTATCGAGAGTGAAAGTGAATTGAACAATAAATCGCATGTACAATGTTACAATTCACTGTTCCAATATCTTACGGCGATCATTCTATAATTTAAGTTAAAACGACTGTGCGACGTTTATCTCTTCATTTAGAGAATGTTATCAAAGTTTTCGAGACATTCTGTTTCTATAGTCGTAATATATGTCACTCACGTAAGACGTAGGTAAAAGACGAACATTTCCGTGAATACGAGCGTGTATCCTCGCACGAAATATAGATCTTTAACAAAAAGAGTATTTTCAAATATTTATAATTATTTATAATTATTTCCACGTGATACTTATACATTTGGAACGTGCAATGTAGATGTGACGAACTCGTTCGAATAATTTCGCGTGTCATTGCACGCATGTGGACCAGCGCAGAAGGAAAGGAAATTCTCAAGCCGACAGTTATGTTTCGTCGATAGATCAAGCAACATTGTCGAAGGCATAGGTCACGGTCTTTCTTGCTTCTCGCGAGAGAGAGAGAGAGGTAGTCAGTGTTGGTGCAACGATCGCGATCGATCGGCGCGCGCTCTTTCACGCGCGCAGGATTCAGCCTCGGTTTTCACGAATGTTTCATCCAACGTTCTAACCAGTCACTTGCCGTAATAACACGTGTCGTAACACGCCGCTTTAACTATCCACGTTATTACGTTGCGTAGTACGCAACGAGTCGGGCCCGTTCCCCATTGCAAGGCGAAACCGGCGCATACCGCGCCGGTTCTCTCCTCCGTCCAGTTTCAAAACGGGTATACACCATTCGAAGATGGAATTCTCTACGAGACACGGTTACGGTAACGTTCAGTCGCTGGTAAACACAGCGTAGTTTTTGGAAACTTGTCTCGTGCCTCAATGAAGGATCTTCTCCAGCGTTCTTTTCAGTAGTCCCGTGAAAATGGAATCAGAAGCGTGT